TATGAATCCAATTCTCCAATCTGCTTCGACAATNNCAATTCTCCAATCTGCTTCGACAATCGAACGGATACAACCACGGCCATATTTAATGACTAAAAAATTATATTTACACAGGCATAAACTGAAAAAATCAAAGGAAAAAATAATGGATAATTTATATCAATAGAATGTATAAATGCATAGACTTGCACCAATCCAACGGGGATCAGAGCATGAGAGTGTGTGTGACGGAATTGATACTTGAAAACATACAAAATTTAGTAAGAAAAGTGCAGACAAGCAATTCATCCTAGACCTGCTAAAATGTTCTTCTAATGAAGGAGAAGAAAGTACCTTTAGCTTCTGTCGTGCATTTTTTTCAATAACTAGACCAGCCTCAGCAAATGCACCAATGATGACTTCTAAGAAAAACTAAGGAAAATAAGAAGTAATGATTATTTAACACTTATGGAAGCCAACCAATTCTTTGTTCCTATAAACATAAAAAATATTAGCATATAGATAAATATATGCCATAAATATTGATACGACATGCACGCAAAAGTTGGTCCTTGCCACCAATTTCTTTTTACATGTGCATAAGGGCGTGGGCCTTGGCCAAAGATACTCTCATGCATTACTGAAACGACATGGCATACAAAACATAAAGCAGCACACACTGCTAATACTAGAAAAAATNAAGATCCTCTCATGCATTCCTGCAATGACATGGCATACAAAACCTAAAGCCGCACACACTGCTAATACTAGAAAAAATAAAACAAGAAATGAGGTTCCATGATCTCATCTCACGAAGAAAGAAGGGGCTTCATGATCTTATTTTGAAACCAGCTGCTGCGAGAATCATTTTACATAATATCATCCATAACATTAGCCTATTTTCTGGTTTGTTCTATATTGTACGTTGATAATATGATTTGACCAATGCTTTGAACTACTTGGAAGAAATGCAGATGCAATTAAGTTCAACACTAAAGTTAAAGGTGAGTAGAAAATGATCATTTCACTTAATTATAAAAAAATAGGTAACCTATGTGCTAACATTTTCTTAAGGGCGTATGAACTTGTGCAGTAAGGTCTTGTTTGATTGCAACAAATTCCATGAAAATTATCACATCAGAGGAAACGAATTCAACTTTGATCGTTTGATTGTAACGTGGAAATGAAAACTGAATTCCAAGGTACAATCACTTTAAACTGTATGTTCTTTGTTTTCATAGAAAACGAATTCCTATGGATTTGGTGGATTTTTATTTTTCAACTAACTTGGAATTGGAATTCATTTCCACATTTTTCTATCAAACGGACCCTAACATGAATTTAAGTCGGGGAAGAGAAAATTCAAGAGAATTTTGGTCAAACTATCATAAACATGAGCAAAAATTGCACGAACTCATCACAAAATGGTAAACCTACTATTATTAATGGAGGGGAAAATTTAGCAACCACTTGAGCCTAACAGAGACATGCATGTATCAAAAGCATCCAGTACCTTTGATGAGATATTATGGAGCACAATTACTATCAACAAAATCATAGACAAATTCAAGATTGGACTACAAGTCAGACTAATATGTTAAAAATAAATAAAAAACAAGCCGGGGACTAGACGGGCTACAGCCCGGCCAAATCTCCCACTAAACTTGTCCCAAAACAAAATTACGAGCTGCTTGAATAATTTAATGGATAAAACTTTTCCTGCAAAAT